TCCCCCCCCACCCACACTCTCACTCCTAAATAACACCCCTCAAATCATTTTCTGTTTCTCCATGAAAAGATTCAGGCCCATTTGCAGACTCTGAGGGAAGAGAGAGAAAAGCTGCTGGGATGTAAAGTGAGTGTAGAGACGAGAAGCCAGGAATATCTGGTAAGTGTCTGTCATTATTAACCTGCATTGTTAACGAGCTGGATGGAGGGGCGTTCTGAATCAGAGCAATAAGGAGCGTCCGGGGCAATCTAGAGGCCCAATTATGTTTTATCTCAATCACTTGGGGGTAAAGCAGAAATTCGTTAAGTGGGGAATAATCATAAGGAAATCAAAATTAGTTGTTTTAACAGGAATTACTGCTTTGGCCTACACCATGAACCAGTATTTTTCAACCTCTTTTCATTTGCGGACCCCTCTGGAAATTTCGAATGGAGGTGCAGAGACCCCTTTGGAAATCTATTGTTTGTGTGTATAGCTGAATTCTGGTCAGTCTGTTTTCAGTCTAAGTCTTTTGTGTACCCTTTAGACATAGTCCCCGGACCCCCAGAGGTTTGCAGGCCACATGTTCAAAACCACTGCCATAAACTACTGTAAACTATTATTTTTATCTACTCCATATTAGCTATTAGTTTAATTAGACTCCCTTTATAGGTAACAGTTTATATTTATGAACTAACAGAATTTTGAATTAGAAAATCCAATGCACTAGAACAACCCCCCTGATACACAGTCACTCTGCAGTTTCACAGTTCTCAGTCTTCTATAAGCCCAGAGTTTGGAGGATGTTTAGTTTTGGGGAATCCTCTTGTGCAATCTTTGTTTACAGTTTTAAGCTCCAGTTTAAATACAGTCATGTATTCCTGCATGTGATGTGTTGGGTTCTATCCCTCCGCTCCCTTCTGGCTTACAGTCCCTTTGCGCTCTGACAATTTCCCCATTCCTGTCATTCACCTTGTATGCCTGAGGGTGTTGTCCAGAGATGTTGTTTTACAGTCCTTACTATTTTCACTACAGTTCACATCCTCCTTATTTGTTAAGTCAGTTTCTTTTCATTAGAATTTATCTTTTAGTACAGTTTATTTCCTTCACATTTCACTCTTGTGAATGATTGATTTGTGGCCTTGGGGAATGTGGACTTCTGTCCATTGCTTCATGATCCTGGGATACTGTGTGTGTGTGTGTATATGTGCATCCATATAAAGGGCCTGAAAAATCCTCTTCCCAGAAAAGGATAACATGTTGCTCTACAGATTCTAAGCTTTCATTTTAATTAGTGAGTTAATTTCTAGCTTTTGTGGCTATGATAAAAATCTTCCCAATGTGACCTGAGTGTATCAAAAGCACAGCTCTCTGCCTGAGTCTGAAGTTTTTCGTGTCATAGTTTCATCTGTTTTTTTCTCCCCATCTGTCTCTGTCCACCTGGTTCTGTGTAGAGCTGGGCAAATACCAGATCTTTTCCCCTGGCTAGATATTAAAAAAAAATTGGCTTGAACCAAAAATTATTTTACAATATTTTCAGCAAATAATAAATTTGACTTTTTCTTGGTTTCATTTTGACAAAATCAAAATGTTTGGTTTCAATTTTGACCATTTCTTTAAAAATATATCATTATATAAAAAAGAAGGAAATGTTCAACCACCAAGTAATTTCACATTTAAAATCCTGGAAAAAAATTAAAAGAAAATATTTTGATTTTTCATTTATTTATCTTTGTAACAAAACAACTGAGGGACAGTGACAGGAATTCATGAAACGTTTCAGTGTCGACAAAGCTGCATTTTTCCCCGAAAAAAAAAATTGTGCAGAAAATGTCACCCAGCTGTAGTGGCTGAGTCCTCCTGCTGTTTTGGATTTGCATCTCCGAGGCCATCAATAATACATTATTTGAGCCGTATCAGACGTTGGAATGTCCCTTTATGAGATTCTGGGGCCAAAAGGAAAGGTGTGAGAAAATCCTCTCTCTAGTAACCACAGGGCATTGCACAGTGTCAGGTGACTTAAATTTTGCAAAGAAATTCTCCCTCCTGCACACTCAGCGCTCTGTGACAAGACCCCAGGCTCCATCCATATCCCTGACCAGCCCGTTCCCTATTTTTTTGTTACAGAGAAAGACACTAATCAAGAGACAGAAGATTGTGTCTGTATTTCAGCAACTGCGGCAATTCCTGGAGGAACAAGAGCGACTCCTGCTGGCCCAGCTGGCAGAGCTGAATGAGGAGATTGTGAAGATACAGAATGAAAATATCACCAAACTCTCGGAGGAGATTTCCTGTCTCAGTGAGCTGATCAGTGAGATGGAGGGGAAGTGTCAGAAGCCAACAAGTGAATTCCTGCAGGTGAGACTGAGTTAGAAATACTCCAGATCCCAATACAGAGACAGGACTGCTCCTAAAACATGGGCACGGCAGTCCAGCAGTCAGAGATCACCGTGTAACTCAGTGTGTGCGTTCCTGAAATATGAATTATTATTATTCTTTGCAGAGCCACAGACACATTGATATTAGAGATGGATAAGCTCCATTAGCTCAGGGAATCCATGGCCCTGGAGCCAGGGAAGGGACTCTTTCATAGGTGCCGACTCCATGAATGCATCAGGGCTGGAGCATCCACGGAGAAAAATTAGTGGGTGCTTAGCACCCATGGGCAGCCAAGCTCCCCCTCTCCCCCTTCCTCCCAGCACCTCTTGCTCGCTGGCAGCCCCACTGATCAATTCCTCCCCCTCCCTCCCAGCGCCTCCCTCCCAACCACCACAAATCAGCTGTTTCGCAGCATGCAGGAGGCTCTGGGAGGGCGGGGGAGGAGCGGGTATGGGGCGTGCTTGGTGGCAGTGAGCAGAAAAAGGCGGAGTGGGGAGAAGTGGTCAGGAAGAGGTGGGATGGGGGCGTGGGTTTGGCGGAGGGGGTGGAGTGGGGGCGGGGCATGTGAGGGGTCGGGGTGGGAAGAGGCGGGGTGTGGGAATTGGGGGAAGGAGTGGAGTGGGGGGGTCAAGCACCCCCTGGCTAGAGGGGAATTTGGTGCCTATGGCGTCTTTCCCCCATACTTCCAAAATCCCTTCTTTGGAGTGTTAAGTGTGTGTCAGGTGGGACTGAAATACACTCTCTCGCTCTCTCTCCTCTAGGATGTCAGAAGCACCTTGGGCAGGTACGTGTCTCTCTCTCTCACTCCCCCTCACACTTCACAACACTGGGAAAGAGCTTGGAGATGATATTAGCACCGCATCTCGCAGGGGCTATACAGCAAAATGTGTGGGGAAGGTCACATTCTGGATACAAATCTCTGATCAATTTTATCCTGAGGTTCTCACCCTTTTATAGAAGACTCTGGAATTATCCATACAGTGGGGAAAACTGACCTCAAGTATTTCCTAGACATGTCACCTCCCTGGGGGACTGGCTGCCTCAGGATAGTGAGGATGGAATATGGGCCTTTCACTGCTGAGGCCCTGGTCACCATTCAGCCCAGGATAGCAGTGGTCCAAGAGTCTGTCTCATCTGAGGACTGTTTGGAGACCTGTGTGGAACGATCTAGGGAGGGGGGAGTTGGTGTCTCAGTCTAATTCCTAGAGGTCAGATTTCTACAACACTTCACCTGGGAACCTCCTGTCCATCAGAGCATGGAGGTGAAGGAGTGAATTGGCCATGGAGACTCAATTCCCCTTTTATCCCCAGAGCTGGTATCTCCAGGCCAGAGTTGAAGAATATTAATGGGTCCTTTTGGGGGAAGGTTTCACTGCCATGGCCTGCGCTGCACCTGCTCTGAGGCTGGGAGAAGTCGAGGAATTCTAACTCCAGGCCCATTAGAGAAGTAGCTCACTAGCAAGAACTTATGAGTCAATACATGAAATAGAATCACATGAAATTATTCCGTCCAGGTGTGAGAAGGGGAAGTTCCAACAGCCAGAGGAGATTTCTCCTGAACTGGAAGAGCGAGTCAGTGGTTTCTCCCAGAAAACTATTGCGCTATTGGAGACTGTGAGGAAGTTCAAAGGTACAAGAAGGGATCTAGGAGGGGAAATTGGGATGAGCATCTGAGTCTATCGGAGGAGAATGTCTCTGGCCAATTGGTTCATAATTAGATTATGTGTGTATTTAATTGTTGGGTGAGAATGCCACACACTTGGGGTCCAAGTCACTCAGGTTGATTAATTCAAACCTTTATTTGTATCTAAAGCATGCCTTGCCATTACAATTACTATGAAAGTACGAAATGACAGATATACTGAAAGAAGTACTGGCCAGTTGCCTACTCCTGGACCATAGGCGGGTTATGGTGGATTTCTCTATGAAACTCTGATTACCCCTTACAATGTCTGAGCTATTATACACATCCAAATTATGTGTTTATTAGTTTTTTTTCCAATCACCTTTGAGTGTTATGAATATTAAGTATCTTCTATAACTCATACAGTGCAGATGCATGAACTTTTTAATTCTCAAGGCTTTTGCTGTCCAAGCTATTTCCATGTCATTATTTTTTTTTCTGTTTGGCTAATTACCACTGATTATGCATAGGTCTCTTCGACCCTGTTCTCTGCATAGGTTTTTTTTTTACTTTGCTAAGTGCTCCTGAACAGTACATTTTGGGTGTCTGTTGTCTTTAAGCACATTGTGTGGTCAAAAAATCTTTGTCTCACATGGGAACTTATGAACACATCACTTAATTACAAGACAACTTAAGGCAACATTTCCTTATGTCAAGCAAACTGCTAACCAGGCGAAAGCCAAGTCAGTCAGTATAAATGCATAATCTCGGTATGTGCAAACTTCTGCATGACCCTTGTACCAATTCTCAATTCTGAACATAATAACTAGTGGAAAGCAGATAAACTGAGGAGATGTAGGGAGCCCAGGCATCAGGATGTCTTACATAAATTCACGACTTATCCAAAGGTCACAACATTCAGGCCCAAATTGAGCAAAACGACCTAATTTGGAGCACCTGAGTTTTTCTCTCCCAACTAGAGAGCTGCAGGGCAGGTGCTCCAGAGCTGTGTAGCCTCCACAGCTGCAGGTGGAGTCAGTGGGAGCTGCAGGTGCCCAACCCCTCTGAGAACCAGGCCCCAGGTGTCTAAGGTCAGCACCCAAAATCTAGACCCTAAATGAAAGGCCATTTGTTAGAGCTGGACTCAGCCCATCACTCTGCTCTGGTCCGGTACAGCAGCTAGTCTGGGCACATGGGCTGTATGGAAGGAGAAAGCCCCTCCCTCACGGTGTGGGATCCCTCTAGCACAGGAGCCTCTTATGCCTCCTCCCCAGCGGCTGCAGGCACAAGGCGTGTTCCTGAGAGGGCTGGGAATGGGGTGGGGGAGGGGTGAGGGTGGATGGAAGAGGGAGGGGGGTGGACGAGGGACAGAGGGATGTGGGCAGTGTAAAGCTGGG